GCTTGATTTAATTTGTTGTAACCTTTAGATTTTTAGTTAAAAATTAAAGTTATTTTTTCAGTCATACATCAATGAATTACTAATTTAATTAACCAAAAACTTGTTACTATTTATTTACTTTTATTGAAAACCGTGTAGATTAAACATACATTGATATACTTTTTCTACTCTGGGAATTAAGTTGAAGCTAGTTTAAAAAAAAATTAGATGCTTGATTTTTCTTTGGGGTGAGGTTTGTTTACACATCATCATTGTTTTGAACAAAACTTCTCTTATTTCATTATTTTACATACGAACTTTGAAACCACTAGCAACGTTTTTCCTATTTTAAACACTTGGGGATGTAATGCTACTTCTGCCCCTTCCAAAATCAAATATTATTTGCTATTTTAATCCCTTATGCAACTCTATGTGGATTATAATCTGCGGCTTATTGCATTAGCTAACCAAGATAATTAATACATTTCAGGATTTTTACTTTCGAACTGTTGACTGTCACTACTGTGCTTTATGGCATATATGGCCGGGGTTCGAATCCCGAAGAAGGCATGGATGCTTGTAAATGTGTAGTGTCCGTGCGGCGTGGAGGCACTTTAAATATGCGGCGAGCCGAATGTCTTCTCGAGAGGTTGGTGGTAGAGGAGGAGGGACCCTCGAACACATTCCTCCCGGGGTGTTCTTTACCAAAATTGGAGCGGAACTGAGTTAAATCGCGCTGTCACCTACATGGAGCTCAAGGCTGTTGCCAACAACAGGCGTAAACTTGTGCTCCTTAGAGGAATTTCATGGGCTTGGACTGACTGTATAACAAGTGAGCATTAGCAACAATAACAACAATAATTGCATAAATGGCATTGATTGTTTAGGCTGCTATATTAATCAATTTAGCATCAGTTATTTTCTCTAAAATATTATGTATTACACTTTTAGAGAAAAATATCTACAGAGAGATAATTGACACTTATTTTATTATTTATAAGTACATAAAGTGAATTTAAAATTAATATAAATAGAAACAGTTTTAGTTTGCTGATTGGAAGCTTTGCATGTAATATAAATGGTAAATTAATTCATATTTTATATTCGATGGGCAAAATATACCGCAAATGTATAACATTGATAATCTATCTCTGTTTGTAAGGCGAACCATCTCTGTCAATACCTACATCAATTTCATGAAACCACTATAAATGTTACAAACGTTATGTAGAGAAATTAACAGAAACAAACAGTTTTGTAATAGATTTGTATATTATATGGGAGTAAACCATAAAATAGATCAATATCCGCATACATTTTACGCGTTTATCCCATGCAAAAATAAGAGGGGGTTATTTATTAATATATTGTATTTTGTTTACTAGTTTTTCATTCTTTCTCAGATTTCCAAATAATTTTCCCATGAATTTATAGAACAAATTGTCAGTAAAGTAGTGCAATTAAACCCGAGCTGTTTAGTGATCGAAAGCCTTCTTATAAGATTTTAAAAAGTCGTGAACTACTAGGGTAGATCCGAAAGTTTAACTTGATATACTTATAAAAGAAATAGGAAAAAATTAATAGTTTTATAAAGTATCTTTTGCCTTCTTTCCGCGTGCCTTCGTGATGTAATTAAAAGCATACTCGATGTACATTCGAGAGTCCCGATGAGGGCTTTGCACGTTTTTCCCGTCTCCAACATCGAAAATTCTAATTACTCTAAAGTTTATTTTTCTGTATAATTTCCTCAATACACTTTTCACATCATTTAATCAGCGAACTATTGAATCTCCATTCTTGAAGGTCAATTTTCACTTTGGAGAAATGATAAAATTACTTAGATCTGAACTGACCTTTAAAGTTGCTGTTTTAGAGATGCTGAAATAAGTTGGGGTTTGCAGAGCCTTTGTTCACAGGAAAATATTCACAAAAGAGTGTGCTCAACAGTTGGTTTAGATATATCCACTTTTGGTGCTAGCTCCTTGATTTTTAATTTTCAACCATTGAGTATTTCCTTCTTGGACATAAAAAATGTTTTCTGATGCCGCTGTCTCCAGCGTTTGATCTCGGGAGAATCGCTTTCTAGGGTTTCTCCACTCATACGAAATTCCTCCAGTCCTTCACAGTAGAAGAATATAGGTTGGAGAAGAATCAGTGTATATATAATCTAAGCATTATTTTATTTCTTTGGAATATAGACCTTCTTAAGTCAAAAATGTAATCACAAAAAGATGCTCTTTTAAAAATTTCAGAACTAACTACTACTTTCCTAGATTCAATAAATAGTACAAGATTACATCAGTTCTGTTGCAAGAGCTTTGAGCATCATACGTGTGACAAAACTGCTTTGCTCAGTTCCGCCCTAATTTTGAAAGAGAGCACCCTGGGGAACGAGTCTCCCAATATTCTTCTCCTAGCATCAACCTCTCGATATGACTTTCAGCTCGCCGTATTTCTTAACTGCCATCATGCCACATATATACACTATACATTTACAAACATTCATGCCTTCTCCGGGATCCGAACCCTGGCCCGTCGATACGGCAGTCAGCGTCACTAGCCACTTTACCGTCTGGGCAGAGGCAAATTTCTAACTTGTAGTAACCTTTAACTCTCATTTTCAGTCTGGTTATTTCCTTTTTCTAACTTTAAAAGAGTAACATACTTTAAATAAATCTGTTTGAAATGTACCATTTTAAACAAAAATTCCTGTCATTTCATTTTTACATTATGCTCATGATGCAGAAAGTCTTTTAATCAAAATACTTTTAAATTTTGAAAACGAAAACCTTAATTAACGACTAGAAATAAAGCAGAATTATATCTTTTCCAATAACATTTCTATTATTATCTAACGCATTTCATTTCAGCGTCTCTGTTCTAACGTGCAGTTCACCACTTCTCTTTCTCATTCTAAATATATTATTATGCTCTTAAAAATATGAATGTATAACGTTGTAATGCTCTTAAAAATACTAATGTACATTTTGAAACAGTTAAGCATGTTTTTCATTCAGGAATGCTTTATCAAGAACAAAGAAGGGTTTAATACCCTTTAGTTGAATATACTTTATTCATCAGCTATATCATCATGTTCAAAATCACCACAACTAAAAAAAGGAAAGGAGGCTAAAGGAAGGCGGATATGTAGTCCGCCACGGGAGACACAATTTTGGGGCAGCAATTTTTTGCGTGAAACAATATCTTGCATAGGTTTTCCACGTGGATCGTAGAAGCAGATGAAGAATAATGAGAAGAATAATGAGATTCTGAATTCCCACACGGAATTAAATTTAAAAAAGGCTTTATTTTTTTCTCGACAAAATATTCAAAGGAATCACCACTAGTTTTCAACAGCTGCATAAATCTTGTTATAACTACTCTTTCTTTGTTCTGCCGAAACCTTTGAATGAAAATTACGAATAGCAACTAAATTCTGATCACGATGAAATTAAAGAGGAAGAACTGCTATTTCAGAAGGAAGTATTTCAGAGTTTAATTTCCATTACAGTAGTAATGCAGAATAATGAGAAGAATCTCCAAAACAAAGTTCCAATATTGTTATACTACTATGAATTTTCCTCACAACGGCTGTAACTGCTATGAGTCGTGAAAAGAGTTTTCTAATTAAAATTTCTATAATTTTTTTTAAACTTCAAACTTTTTTCTGCATTTCAGAAATCTTTCTATGCAGTGTACATATAGCAACTGGAGCAACTGCATAGACCTCTACAATGTCACCTAATAAAAATACAAGCAATCATGGAAGTCGGAATCAAAGTTTTTCTCTGATATAAGCATGGAGTTTTAATTTATTTCTGATTATATCATTTTGATATTTAGCTATTTGTCTGTATTTCAAAAGAAACAGTGAATTCAGGCACCGTCCCTTGCGGAAGAAGCTGTAGCTACGCCACTACGTATACATATATAAACTCATTCATTTATTTCCCTTTATAAGATATTTAAAACTGAGCGTGTTCTCTTTCTATGAAAATAGATTTAACCTTTCCGGCACGCTACCTTTAAAAGTTGGAGTTTTTATTAAAAAAAAAAAAAAAAAAAAAAAAAAAAAAAAGTAGACAGTCTAATTAGGCCTAGAGGAGTACACAAGTAAAATTTTGTGAAGATATCACTTATCTTTTAATTCTGTGGGTGTGCCCAAAGTGGGCACACTGATTGAATAGAGCTTCGAAAAGAGTGCTGAAACGAGCATTGTTGTGAATGAACCGACCGATGAGATGCGGAGAAACAAAGACTACAGACTCTCAATTGTCCTAGATTATCGGTGAGCCCGGTCTGGGCACACCTAGGGTTAGCCGTTTGATTTTAGGCAAGATTTCAAGGTAAAAATTTGAAAATAATATAGAATAAGGAGATTAGCATGCAGCTAAAAACATAACGTAGAAATTTCTTTTCAAACAATTGCTTTTACATCCTAAAAAAATCTGGAAGAATCTTTGAAAAATGAGGGTCTTAAAAAATCTAAACATGGCTAAAATATATGGACTGGTTTGTGTTCAGCTGCCATCTGCTATAAATAAAGAAGGTTCAGTGTAACCTATAGTAACTTATAAATCCTTTTTCATTCAATTTTTTTGTGCGTACAGAAGGAAATTTTTAGGTGTGTCCAGACCGGACACACTATGCCGCAAAGGGTTAAAATTTTAAAGTAACTTTAAAAGCGAATTATTTCTTTTCAGTACAAAAAGTAAAGCTCGTATTTCTCATTTGGAATAGCAATTACACTAAGAAAAAAAGCATGAGACCTGTTGAAAAGGTTAACATCCTTAACGCACTACATTCAGCGAACAATTTACATCCCCCCTCCCCTCTGGATGCACTTCTGCCCTTTCCGAGCACCACTTGTTAAAAACTCATGAATGAAGTAGTAATCTGATCCAAGTTGATTTCTCAAAGCGGAGAGAAAACTTCTCTGTCCAACCACGATGCAGAATCTTCCTCTCACCCTACCCCTACTCTTAGGGTCCCAGGACTGACACTCCTTCTCTCTTTATTCTACCTTAGCGCGCGCGTGTGTTTTACAAGACGCGCGGTAAGACGGACTAAGTTTTCGCTTCCCAGAAGTGTAACACCCTCATACTGCTTTACCCGAAAAAGAAAATTTTCGAATGTGATATCGAACGAAAATTAAAAAAAAAGTATTCCCTTTCCTTTATGACTTTCGTGAAGAACACGGATTTTATTTGTGTGAAATTTTATTCAAGAATATTTTTTTTTCTTATTAAGATTATCTCTGTAATTACATATGTTCCATATTTTTCAAGAATTTCGTGCACATAAATTTCTGCATTTCATATAATGAGAAGAATTGTGACGATTACTCAAAATAATACTTGCGCCATAACAGCAAGATCACACTTTTAATATTATATTTCTTTTAGTACTTCCATCAATGCACTTGTCATTCTTTCGCATCATAAGCATTTAAAGGTGTGCTGTCCGTCCAGAACCGTCAGTTTTGAATCAAATTTATCAACTATTATGTGACGTGAAAGATTTAAAAAAAAAACGTAACCACAGCAATAGAGGAACTTCCATTTTTTATTCTCATCAGAAGAATCTCCCCTTCACCATATCTCTAAAATGAGATTCGAGAGGTAAGTCCTTTAATTTTTCCTTAAGCAAAATTATTACAACTGCAAGGAGGCATGCAATAATATGACCATTATAATATGAGGTAATGAAATGCCATTTTAAAAAATTATAAAATATTTCTGTACATACATTTATATTTTGTTAATTTATTTATTTCTGTGTGTAGCTCACTGTTTTTCACTGTGGGAGATTTTTATAGCAATAAATAATGATCGTTTATAAAATTTAAACATGAGTTTTGAATGTTAATAAATGAGGTTGTTTTACTTTGTTCTTCATCATTATTATAAATTGAAAAATAAATAATTTTTCTTTCCTTTTGAAAATTATTTCAGTTGTTATGTACACAATTTTAAAAATCGCCTTTACTCTGAAGGATCATTTGGTATCTACATGATTGTATTATATACTTTTTTGTTAGCAAGTTAAACCATTTATTTATAATCAAAGTGCTCATTGCTTTAACTGTCTTCTTCAAAAGAGGATCTGCGCTAAATAAAAGTTTCACTCTAAAAAAAAGGCTAAAGGAAAAAATTCAAAAATTAAAACTTTCTTTAAAAATAATGCAAGTAGTATACTAATTCTTAACGCCTCCTTCAGATAGTTTATTTACAGTGAAATTAATATCATCAAAGCTCTAAGGTAAAAACAACAGAAATGAAATTCTTCTTTAAATACACTATAATTAGTATACTAACTCTTTATTTCTCCTTCATTAATTTATTAGAGGGAAATAATGATCATCAAAATTTTAAGATAAGGAAGCCTTATCAGAGTGCATCCTCCGCAATATCAAAGTCTGTGTTAAATAAAACAAATTTATTTACTTCTAATTAGAATTAAAATTTTACTTTTCTGCTCTAAAATCATTTATTTCGAGAATAGTCAGTTTCTTTCATTATCCATACACACAGATTCATATCATCATATCTGAAAAGTGTATATATATATATATATATACTCTGCAGAATTTTGCCGTCATTCATTTCTCTACTTTTAGCCTGAGGCTTACTTTCACAAACTTTCGTTCTTTAATTAATTTGTTTTGCTTAGCACTTCCATAATCTTGAATTTTTAATAATACATTTAAATTTATTTATTTATTTATTTATGTACTTTTTGTGCCCTGTTGAGTTGTGATTTATTTCCTTAATTAAATTATTTATTCAATCTTAGCTGCTTTAGGGCTTGTTTTTAGTTTCGAATGTCCTTATTTTCATATTTAATTCCAAATTTATGTTAAATAATTATACATACACATAAATTCAAAATAAAGTAATTAAATTAAAAAGCCTATGACTTGCGTTAGAACTGCAAAGTAATAAACTAATATGTATGTATATAAGATATGTATTTGTGTTTACAAACCCACACAAATACATTTCTTTTAATACTTGATAAGCTAAGATCAGCATTACTTGATTGGGGAGGGGAATGTTACACATATTTCGATTTTCAGTATTCGCGGTTATAGGACGAGCAAGTGTAATATTAATTAAGTATATATAATATTTATAGTAAGCAAGTACAATTATACTTATTTTTTAATTTTGAAAACGTTAGGAACAGCTGTGGTTGAAGGGAAAAAAGTATTCATGCAATCTGTGGTTTAAAGTTTAATACTTATGACAGGTAAAACGAGATCTACAGTAATTCTGCCTTTTTCCGTGATGCTAAAGCTCAATTTTGGCACTGAAAATCTCTTCATCAAAATGGTGATCCATGATAAAAGGATTATAGAAATTTTCTGATACAAAGTTTTTTTCCTTTTCTTATATATTGCCCCTTAGTACGAATTATATTCCATTTCTAGCTAGATGAAACGTCTGACATTTTAAATGGGCTCGAATATCTGAGACCACAAAATTAATTTTCTTCTAAAAATATATATTTAATTAAAATCTTAATTGCTTGTATTTAAAAGTTTTCGAGCCATTTTTCTTGATAATTTAAATGTGTTATAAATAGTCAAGGTCATTATTTTGAGAAAGACGGTTAAATATTTATAGGTATCCCCGTAACACATTTCTACTCGTAATAGGATCAACAAATGTTGCATATTAAATGTTAATTATAAAATTTTATTCAATGAGTACTTCATGTACGTGCGTTACAATAAGTTTGTTAAAAGTTTTATAAATAATATAAAGTGTGTAATATAAAGTTTCTCTTCTAACTGTACTAAAAAGAGAGAGATTATATGAATTTTATAAAGTATTTTGCTCTAATAATCTTTGAGGCCGAAAAGGATATTTAATTAACTCATGAATATAATTGCTTCTTCAAAGAATAGAGAAATAGTAGTTGATTATGAACATATATGCCAGTATATTAAGAACATATATGCCAGTTTTATCCGTATTTGTGATATTTTTTATTCATTAATATTTCACTAGTTGAGGGCAACAATAATCCCATTTATATTTTTCGAATTCAAGTTATAAATAATTTGTACTGAAATTAAATTTATGAATTTACAAATTTATAAATTTGTAAATTTGTAAATAATAATAATTTATAATTTATAATAATAATAAAATTTAATTAACATATTTGTAAATAAAATAAATAAAATATTTGTAAATAATAATAACTTATAATTGTATGATTTCAATTTATAAATTTTATTTTTTAAAACGTTTATAAAACGTGATTTAATGTATCGTATAAAAACGCTATAATAGAATTAGTCGAAAAGTTAAAATTATTATAATCAAATTAAATCCTAAGAAATAAAAGAGTTAGAACTATTTTTATAATTCTAAGAAATCTATTTTTTCTTATACAAATATATACTTCTTTGCATTATGCTAATTAATCTTTATTCAAAGGTTTATTGCTTTAGCACTGTATCTGTGTATAATGATTAATTGTATCAAAATCTCTTTAAGTCGGGAGTAAGAGTGAACACAACAATTTGATGCCAAAATAGAAACTGCTGTGATGCTCAAACTGGATCCTAATTGGCTCAAACTTGTTTAAATGATTCTTTCCTTTGAAAGAAAAGTTCTGATGTATTAAATGCTTAGAAATGTTGAAAGCAGTAATTATTAGATTAACGAATTATGTAATGTGTCTTTATTCTATTTGAAGTATGCTTAAGGATTTTTTTCCTGCAAACGTTACTACCTTTTTCGGATTAATAGCATGCAGAAAGGAATAATTACCAGATAAAGAAATATAATATCAGTTTACTGCTATTTGCGAGTATTGATTTAGGCAATGATATATAACTAAATTTAGCATTTTACAGCATCATTAATTTTACTTGCTTTTACAGTATGTAACCTATTTATATATTGTTTACTTTCATTCAATTATTTGTTGTTATGCAAAACAGTTAAATACTTGTAATTTTAATACATTATCTAAGTAATATATTATTACACGTTTATTATGTGACAACCGAAGCTCGAAAATATTCAGTTGCTTTTTAACAAATTTTACTCTTTTATCCTTTACTATTTCCTAAATTTAATTTACAAATTTAATTTTGTAAATTAAATGTATGCTTGAATGGTCACTTTCATAATTCCCTTTTTGGTGAAATAAGTTTGTTTCAAAAGCCTGTCAGTGCCACAGGTTTTGATTAAGACAAGATAAGGCAATAATCTAACTCCTCCGTATCGGCCACTGGTGGATTTGTGGGTTCAAACTCGGCCATCTGCAGAACAAAATTCCCGAAGCTCACGGTTCAACCCCAGCGAACAGCTTGGCTACATGAGAGTTTTCGTGGTTTTCCTCGTGTCTAACGTCGATACAACCTAATTTACCTCAGAACATCATCCGTGAAGGCTTTCTTATCCTTAGGTATATAGTACTTGTTTGCCTAATCTAAATAATCCTAGTTCAACGTCATAATCTGAATTTCTTTAATTTCTTTTTCCACATGCAATCTAATTAGTACTTTAAACCATTCTAATGTGAAAGTTAGGCTAAGTTTGTTTATTTGACTATGATAAAGTAAACGAGGGCGATCTGCCTAAGAGTAGGGATGTTTTCGTGAAGGCCATTCTAGGTAAAACCAGCTTATATTAACTTTAAACCCGCGGAAAGCACGAAGACCAATCACACAACAATCCCATTCATTTGGGATCGAACCGATTGAAAGTCGTACTTTTCAGTGACCTTAAGTTGGATAAGGGTAGGACGTAATGTAAGGGTCGTATTTTAAAAATTGAAAGATAGTTCTGTTTTTCTATGTTTTGCGTATTTTTAGAATTTTGTATTTCATTTAATTCTGAACATCCAAAATTATTACAACTTTTTCTGCTTTAATTATAATAAATGATATTAGTTTTCAAATAATTATGTTGTTCCAAATTACTTTTGAAAATTTGAAAATAATTTACTGATTTTACTTTTTTCTTTAGCTCGAAAATGCTCTAAGAAAGAATTGATTCTAATTCATATTTTAAGCGATTATATGTTATCTATTCCTATAAAGAATTCTTTAATAAGATCAAAACCATTAAAAAATATTGCAGCGTACCTTATGTTAATTAACCAGTTACTATAATTTCGGTCTTTACTGTAATTTCTCCTTTACGTCTTCTTCACTTAAATGCAAATTAATTGTGAGTATTTAAACTGAGATTTTTGGTTTTGAGAGAGAGTGTTTCTGCCATCGTATGCACGCTACGTGGTTAGTTCCTGTCAGCTCTAACAATTATATCTATTCTGCTTTGCGGTCTCGTGCCGACGCTTTTCATCTGACGCCGCCAGAGTTATTGAGCCAGTTTCTAAGGTAGTATTTATTTGTGTAGGCTTTGACTACTGTTCAATGCTTAATTTAAATTCTATTGTGCTATTTATTTGCATCACTATGAGTTGTGGTTAAATAATCACAAGAGCGTTCACTTCTCTTCCAAGTTCTATTCAAATAAAAAGGTTATTAGAACTTTCTCAAAACTTTGTCGTTGTTCTCAGACGTAGCGATAACTCGCTCCATGTCTTTAAGGGTTATAAGACATTATTAGATCATGTGTAATCCTAGAATATA